AGGCTACTTATATAATGTACCACACATGACAAAAAGTTGATCTATAGACAAGAAAAAATCTAAATGTATTTTAAAGAAAAACAATTTTTGCATGGTATTTTAGTCTGCTAAGTCTCTAATGTGCTAAATGCTATAAAGTTATAAACAAACACTGACATCCTGGTTTTCTGGAAAGCTGCTTTAAAACAATGTGTATGCTGAAAATAATGCATACATTTTGACTTGACTTGAGTTTTTGTGGATGGCTATGCCCGCTTATGACATTGTGTCAGTCTTATTCATATTTATAGCTCCGATTTTAAACAATTCTTATCAAGCAAAGTGCTGAAAATCAAAATCAAAGGGAGTAAAAGAAAAGTAAGAGCACCAAAATTAAAAAGTAACTGAGGAGAAATAAAATACAGGTTAAGTAATTAAATATGCATGTTCTACATATAAAAATGCTAAAATAATCTAAAAAAGATTTAAAACCGAGAGAAAACAAAATCAAAACATTTGTTTTAAGGTCCTTTATGGGAATCCCGCAACTGTCAAGTGTAATTGGACGGGGGAAAATTGGGTTCTTTTGGGGGGATTTGAGCTGGAAATGTTTCTGGAACCTGGCAACCTTGAACGTGACTTTGTTTCATATAAATGGCCACATGAAGCGTTCAGATGACTGATTGTCTGTCTGTCTGTCTGCAGTGTATCATCCTCAGACGGGCTACTCCAGCCGTTCTCGTTGTAGCTCCACCTCTTCCTCCGTCACAGGCTCCGCCCCTGCCAAAGCCCCGCCTTCCCTTGAGCTCCAGCATCCTCAGGCCTCTGCTTACACAGGACGCCCCAGCGTGCCACACAAACAGGTGAGCGATCGCATGCACTCGTTTATCACGCCGCTCTGAGCTCCTGCTGATCTGCTCTGTCTCTCTCTGCTCACAGATTTTCCAGGGCAACAGGCGCATCATTCACGGCTACCAGGGCACTCAGCGATATAACGGAAACACATACCCCGAGCGAAACCCCGGCCGAAGTGGCTACCGCTATCAGAGCGACCTCGACTCCCAGCCGACCAATAGCCTGAGAGGCTTCTCCCACTCCTCAGGCTATCGCTCGGATCGACCCGCCCACAATGGGCTTCCACAGAGGCAGCCGCGGACACACGGCCCATGACGCCACACACACACACAGCTGTCCGATGAAGAGAAAGTCAAGTTTACATCCGTTGTCACATTAGCGTTCAGTGTTAGTCTCAGTAGTTCCTGTGGTGAGTGTTTGCTCGTGGGCTTCCTCTTTCAAACGGTCAAGCGCTTCTCGGATGATCAACACTAAGGCAGAGTTTGCTCTGCGAGTCGATTGAAGCCAGCGTGTCGTGTCCTGATCGGGTGCTACAGCGCGAGTCTTCACGCTCACGATATACCTCACGCTCTCATTTCACGCTGCGCTCGCCGTCAGCCTCCTCCTGAAACACTCTGGTGGGACACATCTGCGCTGTGCATGCTGGGACGTCTGTGTTTGACCAGGAGAGCTCTTCTGTCTGGATTCTGGCTGACAGGGAGTCTGTCTGTGTCTCTCTTTAGTTTCTGAAAGCTTCTCGTCGCTCTTCTCCGCTCAATCCTGTATATATGTAAACTATATGTATAATGTTTTGTAGCCTCTGGCCATGTATGTAGTGCGATTTATTAGTTCTCTGATTGAACTCTGTTATCAAGCAACTTCTGTTCTTCCTCACAAATGGAGAAAGAGCGCGACTCGTTTCTGTTTTCGTCCAAAATGATCCGAGACCGCTGTAATCAAGTGCCTTCAGTCATGTGCTTTCACCATCTCTTGTTCCTTCTGCTCCGGTTCGGACCAAAGACATCAGAAACCGTCGCCTGCTCCTGCACTAGCAAACACTCATTGTCTTTCTCGCTAATTGGCATACTTGCTTTTCCTTTATTATAAATAAAGAAGGATTGGTAGCAAATGCTGAAACTGTTCACAGACTCTTTTTCTCTTGATGAAATGTTGTGTATGAAGCTGGTCTTGTGCTGATATTTCTGGATCTCTGAGGTCTGTTTATCGAAGCGCTCTTCACTAGCACTCTTGATGTCTGAGATCAATGGCAGCCTCTCCAAACTGAATCCTGACCGCAGTGCCGTTTGCTTTAGGCTGAATGTTTGGTGTTGTGCGCTGCTGACTTCATTACAGTCATGCATCAAATGCCACTGCTTCAGCAACTTACTCTAACACACAGGTTTTCACGTTTTATGGGTTCATTCCATAGGCGTAATGGTTTTTCTTATGTACAGACTGTTTTCTATCCCCTAACCCTACACCTCACACAACTTTCTGATGTTTTCAAAACACTTCATTCTGTATGATTTATGAGCTTGTTTCCTTGTGGGGACATTTGGTGCCTATAATGTAGTGAATACCAGTACACACATACACTCACTCACACACATACACACACTCGCACACACACATGCGCACGCGCGCACACACACACGCACACTCTCACTCACACAGAGACACACTCACTCTCACTCACACAGACACACGCACACTCTCACTCATACAGACACACACACACACGTTAAAATGCTCATCTCATGTCCGTGTGCAAATGTAACAAAACAAGGACGTGACGGTTTCTTTATAGCACACATGCCCAGTGTAAACTTTCACGCTGCTTTTTGTCCAAAGTGCAGTCAGTAGTTCATGTTTCTGTCTGTGGATCGTGTCTCAGGTGTGTGTTATTGGACATGGTCGAGCCCCTAAATCATGCTTATATACTCAACGATCCTCAGAGTGAAGATGTTCAACAGGCTCTCGTTCGTGTCTGTCTGGTTTAAGTGGATTCATGAAGCCAATTTCCACAAAGCTTTCAAAAACCAACTCCATCCTTCATAAGCACAAAACCAGAGGTGTAATGAAGTACTTAAAGGAACAGCTTACCCAGAAATAACAGCCGAGTCATTTACCTTCACCCTTCTTTTCACAAAACCTGTCAACAGGTGAAAATCATGCGGTGTGAACTCTGCATAAGGGACTGTGGAAAGAGCAAGAAAGGCTCACAATTGATCATGAGCTGCAGCATTCAGAAGTTAGCACTGCTTCACGCATCGCTACATTATGGACATGCACTCCATGAGTTATGTGACTGATTTAATAAGTTCAGATGAGATCTTCACTGCACGCATGAAGGATATCAAGAGATCATGCATCCACGTCACAGCTGGCCATGTTTCACTCTCCATTCATCTCTGAATGTCTTCAGGAAGCTGAGCTTAGTTCCTTTGTAATGCTCCCAGGTCATTGGCAACATGCTTGTAGCTGCGTGATGCTGTTCTTTAACCTGTCAAGTCACCCTTATTTTTATGGCACTCTACAGATTCAACCAGCTTGCGGTGATGGACGGAGAAGAGTGTAACTAATCAGCTCATGGGAAATATGAATAATTAATCATAACTAATTATAATTACTTATGAATATTTTAGATCCGCTGTAGATATTTAGCTGACCTCTCAGGGTCAGCTGTCTTGTCAATTCTAAGAACGTTAATTTCCTGGTTAAGGGAAATAACTTCCTTACTGTACAATTCTACAAAAGCTTGTAGAATAAATCTGCATGATTAAGTGACTCCAGTTATGAGCAAACAATGAACCACGTCAAGTGTGATACAAGTAAGGTTTTATTAACTACATAAACACTTAATCTAGTCTAACATTCTACATAAACACATAAACTGGTCTAACATCCTACATAAACACATAAACTGGTCTAACATACACACACACGCATACAGTTGGTATAGGAAAGGGTTAAAGCTTAACTCAGTACAGAGAAGAGACATAAGGAATGAAATTTATGGAACCATTTGCATATTCAGCAGATCTACACGGTGGATGCTGTCAGGTGGTGTGCTGTGGTGATGTAGGCTGTAGCAAGGTGTTGAGGCTGTCACCTGTCATCCTGAAGTGAGTTAGTCTGGATAGGATGGTTTTTTTGTTGATGCTGTTAGACAGTAGGCTATCTGTGGTCCCCGTGATGTGGGACAGCCGGGTTAGACTCTCACTGGTGAGAGTGCAGGTGGTTCCAGGGATTGCCGGGAACTGTTATGGAGATTCTATAGTGTGTAGAGAATTTCTGACTGCAAATGAAATGCGTTGGCCGGGAATCGAACCCTGGTCAACTGCTTGGAAGGCAGCTTTGCTCACCATAATACCACCAACGCAGGTGGACGACACCGGCTTGCGCGGTCAGTAAGAACGCTCAAAGCACACGAGTCGCTGATAGGGCTTGAGGAGCTGATGCCATCTTTGTTTGGGCCTGGCGCTAAAGAGAGACAGTCCAGGGCTTGGATCCCGTCAAGTACAAAAAAAGCGCTGTCTTTCCGTGCTGGCTAAATTAATGTGAGGCAGGAACCGCAAAGGCTGCAAACACAGAAGCTGACCAGTTGCGCATCCTCCCACCGCGTGTTGGCAGTCGGCCAAATTCACTCTGTTATTGACATTCCAGTATAGTTCTGCTGTGATCAGAGCCTCCAAAAATACAGGTCACTCGCAAAAAGCTCCCCTCCACGGAAAACTTTAGTAAAAGGTGAAAGATTTATGCGACAATGAAGAGAAACTCGAGCTGTGTCTCCACGCCCTTGGGCCTGTGCGCTCCCTGTGGTAAGCCACTATGCTCGCCAAGGGTAATCTAGGGTGCCGACACCCTCCCACTTGCATTTCGTCACCCCCTCACTCCAAACGGGAGAAGTAAATGTCACAAAAGTCCCTCTGGTCGCCCAGTAAGCACAAGCCCAACGAAGGCAATGCAATCTCTTTCTCATGCCTCCGTCTGAGAAGTTGGAGAAAACAATTAAGCAAATAAAAGAGTCCAAATATTGACCCCTGTATCGTGTAGCATTCCAAAATTGAAACGACTTCAGCTGATGATGGGTCCATCCAGTATTTTATGGAGTAAGGGCTGGGTCAGCGTAAGAAAACGCCACGCTTTGTTTAGTGATGTGGGTGCAGTGACGTTGGCGGAGTGTGAACTCTTACATGCACAACTCCTCGTTAGTATAGTGGACAGTATTGTCGCCTGTCACGTGGAAAACCGGGGTTTGATTCCCCGACTAGGAAAATAAGCTCACCCCCTCACTCCAAACGGGAGGAGTAAATGCCACAAAAGTCC